GGACTGCTAGTCTCTCACAACTCTCTCTCATGGACGTGAGTTGCACTGAGCCATTTGTAGTGCTTTATAATTTAACTGTTTATTTCTTGTATTATATATTTATCTGTATATGATTTAACAGTTCATTTCTTGTTATATATCTAATTATCTTTATAAGTAAATATATTAAATTATCAGCCATTTGGTTTTATCTCTCTAGAGAACCCTGTCTAACACAAGCACAAATGCCAGAGAAGGCTAGGAGAGCTCAGAACCCTCACCCTTTGCTGGCGGGCGGTGAAACACTGAAACCACTAGGGAAAGTAATGATGGTAACGGCACTTCTGCAAACATCTGAGAACAGAGACACCACAGGGACCCAGCGATCTGGCTACTTGGTATATGCCCTACAGAAACCAGGAACCCAGCACATACCCACCCCATGTTCGCCAAAGCACTATTTGTAGTAGCGAGGAGATGGAAATGGCCTGTTCATGGGCGGAAGAATGGATAAGTAAACTTCAGAACACCCACACCACGGATAGTGCACACCACTACAGAACGAGGAAACCGTGAAACACCTCCTGACACGGCGGGATTTGGAGGACATTATGTTGAGGGAAGCACAAAAGGGCAAACACGGCATGAGACGAATATCATTAAAAATAACCCAAAACCAAGAAACCGATTTCAGTGGGTAGCAAGGGTGGGAAGGAAAGGGAGAAAAGGGGAAGTGACGGGCTAGAAGGGTGGACAGGTGTTGACTTGGGTGAAACTCCACACACCAAACTCACTGCTATGGAGTTGACTTGGACTCCTTGTGAGTGATGAAGGCCCTTTAGGACAGGGTAGACCTGCCCCTGTGGGTTTCTGAAATGGTAACTCTTTACTGCCCCTCTGGGTGTCCAGGGGAGCGGCTGGTGGTTTCAAAGAGTGACTGTGAGGTTAGCAGCCCAACATGTGACCACTAAGCCACCAGGGTTCCCCTTGACTTGGGTGAAGGGATGATCATGTCGTACAAGGAGGAGAAGGGGCAAAGTGGGAGGGATCAGGTTAAGCCATTAGGGTGCTTAATTAGTTGTTGAAAGCAAAAATGATGATCTGACTTGTAAACACCCACCTAATTCACAATTTTTAAAAAGTTTTAAACAATGTCTTTTGTAACTACAAAAAAAAAATCAAAAACCCAATCGCTGTCATCCGCTCAATTGTGACTCACAGTGACCCTAATAGACTCGCGCTGTCCCTTTGGGTTTCCAAGACTTTGAATTTTTACAAGGGCAGACAGTCTCATCTTCCTCAGAGGGAACAATGGATTTGAACTGCTGACCTTGTGATTAGTATCTGAATCTGTAGCTCACTACACGACCAGGGCTCCACCGGGCTAGACCTGCCCCTGTGGGTTTCTGAGACTGTGATTCTTTACAAGAGTAGAAAGCTTCCTCTTTCTTCTGAAAGAGCAGCTGGTGGTTTTGAACTACTGACGCAAATAAACCATTACACCACCAGGAGAACGAGGACTCGGGTGTGTTTCACCCCGGCGGCCTCTAGCACAGTGTCTAACAGCATGAGTGGATGCCGACCTGGGAAATCTGCTTTGGCTAACAGCATCTTTCATCGTTTAATGCTGTTATGTGACTAAGGCGAGACTTCCAGGAGGAGAGCATGAGAGCTTTGAGTCAGAGTCTATACCCAAAGTTGCCCGGTGCTGGGGAGATGACAGACACACTCTACAGGCCAAAGGCTCCCAGTCTGGGTGGCCTGAGCCCTCCTCCCAGGCACTCACAAGTATGGAAGGGAGTCCGGTCGGGCAACGAACGGGTTTTCCTCCGGATCGGCAAGGACTTTTCCATCTCTTCTTTCAAGATCATCTTTCCCAAGTTGGATGTCACCTGGAAAAGGGAATGGAAGATGGAGCCAAGACTTAAATCCTCATTTCATATCTCTAAATGCTTGGGGACGCTGTCAGCAGGGTTGGGCGTTTGCAACCATGTCTACTAGTGACAGATATTCCGAGGAGGCCGGTTCATGTCTGGAGGGCAGAGAACCTCCTGTTTTCAGTCTGATGTGCTGCTAGGTTGGGTTTGGACGCCCATGGGTGCTCAGTGTAGCTGCATGAGAGCTTCCCCATCCCAGGCTGTGATAGCCAGAGCACTGTGAATGGCCTTCCCATGACTCTCAGCACACACCTCCCTCCCCTGGAGACCAGTAAACCACACTCTCTCCCTCGCCACTCCTTTGCCCTCTGCTACCTCGTTCACTCTGCAATCAAGGGCCTTTCCCCTCCACCCTTCAAACAGCACAGAGTCCAGGTGTCTCTTGAAAAGCAGCACCCCCCAAATCTTGTTCTAATTAGGGTACTTTTCTGCATAAACCCATTTGGATTAGCTGTGGAACCAGAATTTTGTCCCCGCAAAGACACAGGCTGGGTGGCAGGTAGCAAGATGCTACCTTACTCAGTTCCTCTTTCTGACGCTCCCTCAGAGCCTTCATCTCCTCTCCAGAGTCATCATCTTCCTCCTCCTCTTCCTCCTCTGCCCCTTTCCGAGATGCCTTCCGCTTCCTCCATTCAGTCTCTAGGGACCGCAGGAAAAGAAGGCAATAAGCAGTGGCTCAGCCAGGATTTATCACATGCTGGCTCTGTGTGCAGAACTGGGCTCCCCTTTACAGGATCCTATAGGTCATTTTAGGATCCCTGGTGGTGTAGTGGTTATGCCTTGGGCTGCTAACTGCGAGGTTAGCAGTTCTAAACCACCAGCCACTCCAAGAGAGAAAGATGTGGCTCTCTACTCCCATAAAGGGTTAGTCTGGGAAACTCATGGGGCAGTGCTACCTGCTATATAGCACTGCTATGAGTTGGCATCAAATCGATAGCAGCAAGTGAATGAGCTTCTTTTAAAAATTAACCCACACAAACAACCTCACTGCCATCGAGGCATTTCTGACTCATAGTGATCCTATAGGTCAGGGTAGAACTGCCACTGGGTTTCCAAGACTAAGTTTTTATGGAATGGGAAAGTCTCATCCTTCTCCCTCAGAGTGGCTGGTGGTTTCAAACTGCTCACCTTTCTGTCAGCAGCCCAATGTGTAACCACCTTGCAGTGAAACTGGGTAGGCCACACCCACAGCAAACCCAAACCCAACTCAGAGTGACTGCCTATGGGGCCTCCTGTAAATATAAACAATTACAGGAGCAGACTGCCTCATCTCTCTCCCATGAAGCGGCTGGTGGGTTTGAACTGCTGGTATTACAATTAGCAGTCAGTGACTTAAACTCATTGGGGACCAAGGTCTTGTCTCATTTGTCTTTCTTTCCCAGAGCTCCTGTCACTGAGCCAGGTAGGGAGTGCAGTTTGATCAGTGTCCTCTGAGTGATCATATCAGTGCATGCAAGTAGATGGATGGCTCTCCAAGGCCTACAGAGGGCAGGGAGAGCTCTCTGTGAGCTTCCAAAAAAGGAGCCAGGGGGCTTCATGAAGTCAGTAAAAGCATACGAGGTGAGGATGGGCTCCTGGAGGCTGTAAGGGAAAGGTCAGTGAGGGGGCATCCTGGGGCCTCCCTTTCCCCAGACTTCCCCACAATGTCTCCTACCCACAACGGCCAGTGATGGGGGGCATGGCCAGTAGTCAGTTTCGATCTTAGCCGGCTGGTTGGGGTCTGGGGGCTGGGCCGCAGGGAACTTGGACGATTCGATGATGAGGTCCTCAATGAGGTGCTTGCTCTGGGGGCTGCCACCCATGGACTCTGGAAGCCAAGCGCAGAGTCAGCTCACTCACCCCAGCCAGGGCCAACTCTGCTGCCTTCCCCCCTCCCTCCACAGCCCGCAGAGCCTGAGGAGGAGCACAAAGCAATGGCTCTGTTGTACGGTTGCACTGTTACAGGTGGCCATTCCCCTCGCCCTCCCTCCCTCCCAGGGGCATGTCAGCCGGGCCACAGCCCTCACCTCGCTGCTTATAGATGGGAGGCTTCTTGTAGATGTTAGAATCCGGGCGGGAGGTCTCTGTGGAGAGGGAGCAGGGGTTGAGGAGAAGGAAGCTATGTGGGTGGCAGAGTCAGGGTGGGTGCAGGGTGGGGAATGGAGACAAATGGCTGGAGAGAAAGAGGTAATTCAGGGGCCCCAGTCAAGAGCCAAGACAAGTCACAGTTCCTGGAACTGCCCCTCAGGGGACTGGGACTTTCCATACATTTTTTGGCTGGTGGGGGGCTAGAAAGAAGCAACAGGGGTCCAGGACTCATGGGGCCCACCAGACAGGACGAGCACACATGCTGGAGAGTGGGGGAGCAAGGGGCTTAGGGAAAAACAGAGGTCTGAGGTGAAGTAGGTGCTCAGGCTCACACCACAACCTACCAGGGTGATGGAAATGAGGCAGGCTGGTCCGAGGGGTTCCCGTGGTCCTGGGGGCTGAAGCCTGAGAGGTGATTCCAGGGGATCGGCTTTCTGCCCACACCTGTGGTGCAGAAGTCTGACTCACTGCAGCTCCTGTGTGCCCCTTCCCAAAGCACAGACCCCACGTCCCCCCACTCTACCAGGCCCCATCCTCCCGCAACCCCAACCCCAGGCACAGGAAGGGGACTCAAGACCAGGCCTGCTGAGGGTGCCAGGCCCAAGAGAAAGGATGACACATGAAGCTCTAGGATAGACAGACAGGTGGCTACAGCAATGACTCGTGCATAGGATGTTGCTTCCGTCATGTCCCCTAGGCTAGGCAGCGCTGTCGGGACTTGTGGGGGCCCCATCAGAGCAGGGCTGGGCAGGTTTCAGGTAGGGGCAGACTCACCTCTGGGGATGGTGGTGGGGATGTGGATTTGGGTGACAGAGAACGCTGTGAATGGAGAGGAGGCTGGTTAGACCACAAGGCTACCCTAGAACCCCAGAGTAGCCTCTTCATCCCTTATCAAGTCCACACCCTCTCCTGGCCAACTCTGAGGTCACCTCTTCTCCCGCAGAGCCTTGTCAATGCCCAGTGCTGGGTCTCCATTCTTCTTCCTAGCACTCTCCTGGACCAAGTTCTCTTTCTCCTCCATAGAGCATGCAGGAGTGCAAGGATCTTGGAGCAAACAGTATGCTTGATGCTCTTAGGCCCTGTGCTCCGACCCTCAGGACTCATGGAAGGGGCAGGCCAGGACCCTCCAAGGATGACTCCCGCTGCCTGCCCCAGACCCAGCACTCACCCTTTACTTGACTCCCGGTCATGGAGTCCCCGATCATGAACCATCTCCTGCACAGACTGCTCTGTGAGGTGGGCAGGCAGAGAAGACAATGCCATCCACACACGTGGCTCAGCTAGCACCCCCAGCTGACAACTTTCAGTCCCCCTAGGCACGTTGCCTAACCGTCGCTCTCTCTGCCTACTCCCACTCTTCCCCTGTGCGCTTCCCGTGGGCTTCTGCCATTCAAACAGCCGCCCCTGCTTCTGCTTTCATAGCTGCGCTCCCACCTTAAGCCCGTTCTCACCAGGCTCTCAACAGACGCTTGGCTGACATGGTGGTTCCCTTTCTTGCTTCCATAAGACTGGCCACAAGGAACAAAGCAGTGGGGGAGGGGAGCACCCTGCCCCCCCACCCAGTGTGGCTGGCACAGTCCTTGCTCCCCTGTCCTGTCCCTGGGGCCCCTCCCCTCCCCATGCACCTCACGGCTTCTGGGCAGATCCACATGTTCCAGGAGGGAGTAGGTGAAGTGGGGCTCATAGATCATGAGGTCAGGCCGCTCGATGTCCAAAATGGCCTTGTCTTTAGGGATGGCAGCCAGGTCTTTGTAGCCCAGTACCTGATTGTCCATCTTGGCCTGCAGGGAAAGGGTCCCAATGAGGCAGTTGTGCTGAAGCATCCCCTGTGATGCTGGCCAGACTGTAAGAGCTAGACTTAGGATTCCACAAAGAAGAAGAGAGTGAGGAGCCGCTTTAGAAGCCAACTCTTATGGGGCAGTAACTCTTTGGTTCTCATTGGAAGGGTCTGTCACCTTAAAAAACAACTCACGTAGCGAGTGGTACCAGAAAGCCCCCACTGGGTGGAGGAGGATAGAAAGCTCTCTGGATTCAGCGCTCCTCTCCCTTCCAGCGCTGGTAGGGCATGAAAGTTCAAGGTGAAGCTGCCAAGCAGAGCCAATGCCTGCTCACCCCCTGCCCCTCCTCCCTTGTGCCAGACGGAGGCTGGTGGTGCCCAGGGGTACTCACCACGATGCTGGAGGGAGAGCCCGGATCATTGGAGCCTCGCGAGGAGCTCACGCTCCCTGGGGAGGTGAGTGGTTGCTGGGGAGAGCGAGAAGGTGGGCGAGTGGGTATGTGCGTGGGTGTGAGGGGTGCGGCGGGGGCAGGAGGCTCGTCAGGAGACACAGGATTTGGGCTGAAGGTCTCCCCTCTGCCTTGGGGGATCCGGGGTGCTGCACCGTGGGCAACAGCCAGGTGGCACCCTCGAGGCGGCATCCCGAGCTGATGCTCCTACTGGTGCAGACCTCGGCCCCACCCCGGCCCCAGGCACCCCACCTGTCCCAGCAGTGGGTGCAGCGCCCCAGCACACCTTCTGCAGGCGTTCCATGCAGCAGGGCGCTGGCTGGACGGGTCACTCGAAGCGGGCACGAGAGGACGGGCGGGCTCAGGCCCTGCCCCGCTCCGCGGCGCTGAGCACTCGGGGTGGTGAAAGCTGAAAGGGCTTCGTCCCAGCCAGCTGTAGCGTCCTCATCCCTCGGTGGTTCTCCTGGCTGCAGAGCGGGTGGAGGGCCTGCAAGGAGAAGGGCAGGGCGAGAACGTGCCAGAGAGGTAGGGGTACAGCCCACCCCACCCCCCACCCTCGCACCCCCTACTCCTCCAGTTGAGCAGAGCGACAGGCCGGAAGGGCGTTCGGACTCAGGTTTTCCATTTGCCCAGCTGGAGAGAGAGTGTGCTTGTGGGCAGGGAGGGGAAAGTGGAGGGCCTGCACTTGTTTTTGACCCATTGTTCTCTGGCTCCAAAGGAAATGACGGCAAGGGACAGAGGCTGACGGAGGCTTCCCGGGCAGCCTGTACAGGCCCTGCTTGGTCACAACTGCCCTGCTCTGGGGGCTGAAGCCCAAGGCCTGACGCCCCCTCACCCTCTGCCAAGGCTGCCTGTGACTCAGTGCTCTCCACTCCCCCTCAGCCTGCTAGTCATGGCCGCCTCACCTGCCCCACAGCTACTCAGCCAAGAAGGCTTAACTGAGAGCCTGAGTAATAATACCTAGGAAGTGTGTGGGTGGGGGGAGCGGGATGGAGAAAAGAGGAAGGGCTGCCTTGCATAAGGTAGTCAGACCACGTGGACTGCCATCTCCAGTCCAGAAGAGAGAGGAAGACTACAGAGGGGAGGCCCTGGCACTCTCTCCCCTCCGCCCTCCAAGGCAGTCAGCTTCACAGGGATTAAACATCCTGGTGGGGGGTGGGGGCGGTGAGGAGCCATTCCTTGAGCCAATCCAAAGTCTTCTCACAGTGCCCACGCTGAGACGCCCCTCTCTGAAGTGTTGTGCCCCTCTCTGAAGTGTTGTTGTGACTGCAAGTCAGTGCCACCAGGTCCCATGTGAGGCCACTGGCCATCCGACCCAGCCTGGTACTGCTCTGTTTGTTCCTAGGGGGCCGGTCCTTTCTGCTCCATTAGATTGTGAGTCCCCTGGGACACAGCCGTCATCCCCTCCTTCTCTGTAACTGCCTTAGCCATCCCTCCATCCTCCCTGTGTCCCACCCCCACACTGCACCTGTCATCATCATTCACAGAACTGGTGGCTGCGTGTGATGGTGGCACCCCCAAGTCAACACAACCCCTGTGGGTTTCTAAGATGTAACTGTTAACGGGAGCTTTAACGGGGGCTTTACCGGGGGCTTTCTCCCTCAGAGCTGCTGGTGGTTTTGAACTGCCAACCATGCAGATCACAGCCCAACACATAACCACTACACCACTAGGGCTCCCTGGGATGGTAACAGCTGGGCCTGGAGCCACAGAGCTAACTGACAATCACAGAAGGGGCAGGGACGAGGCAGCCTGACTCAGGGGTGATGGGCAGGAACTCAGGTGCCTGGGGCAGTGGGGTGGGGTGGGAGGAGTACTGACTGCTGCCCATTAACTGTGTGACCCTGAGCAAGTTACTTTTCCTCCCTGTGCTTCATGAGAGTTAGTTGAGTACCCAAGTCTAGGGTTACTGTATGATCGGAGGGGGTCTTCCACACATTCACGGAGGAAGCAGGGAAAAAAGAGGAGCTGACACCAAGGGCTCAAATAGAATGTAAATGTTTAGAAAATGATGATGGCAACACATGTACAAATATGCTTGATACCATTGGTGTATGGAATGTAAGAGCCCTCACTAAGATGATTTTTTTTTTTAAGTTCATGGAAAAATCCCGCTATTCTTTCATTCCAGTTTCTGGGAATTTTTGGAACCTCCCCTCCCCCCCACGTCTAACACACACCCATTCAAGTACTTAAAACAGTGAAATTCCCTCTGAACAATTAGTTGTCATTGCTTCTATATTCCCTGGGCCTCTGAGCTCCGAGTGCTGTGCTGGAGGCATCCCTTGCTACAGAGGCCCATGGAACACTGAGGGTCTCGGGCTCCTAATCTCATCGCCCACCACCCTGTAGCAGCCGCTCTCCTCTGGCTGCCTCTCTACCACTGCCCGCCGAAGCTGCCCACTCCCTGCACAGACAGGCTTCACGCCCACTTCTGTGCTTTTCTTTAACACATGCTGCCCCCTTGCTTTTGCACATGGGAGGCCTCACCTGCTATTCTAGCTGCAGATGGAGATATATATATATATATATATATATATATATATATATATATATATATATATATATATATATATACACACACACACACACACACATTTTCAGCCTTTCTCCCCGAAGTCTTATAACTCTAACCAAACAGTTGGGTGAGATCATATATAATAAAGATCAAAGATAATAAAGTGCTTCTGGTCCCCTTGAGAAGAGAGGATTAGACAGTTTGCCAATCGTGGAAATAAGGGGATTGGTACCCTCGTGGGGGTGGAACCATACCAATAAGGTCGATAGGATCCTAATGAGGGGATTGGTGAGCTTTACCAGCCAGTTAGGCTTAAAATCAACCATCCCAGAGGTGGGGAGGAGGACCTCACTACCAACGAAAAAGATGAGCCTTGTACCCCAGGGCCCTGCACTGAGAAGCACCGGGCCCAGGAGACAGCTGTGACACCAGAGATGGCACAGACATTGAGATGTGTCGACAAGCATGACAGAGAAACAGCAGCAGCAGCAGGTCCAGAAGAACACCAGGAGATGTGGATTTCTCAGGGTGAGAGAGCTGCCTGCTTTTGGCTGAAGCTTAGTGGCCAAGAAGGGTGCCCCTGGGCACGTATTGGTGGAGCCAAAGAGTCATATTTGCCTGAGTAAGTCCCAGAGGCTTAAGAGGTCTGAGCGGCTAAAGTGCTTTCCACTCCTGTGAAGAGTTGCCATTTTGGGAACACACAAGGGGCAGTTTTATCCTGTCCTGTAGGGTCACTATTCACTATGAGTTCAAATAGGCTCGGTGGCAGTGAGTGTCATCATCATCATCATCATCATCATCATCATCATCTTTTTAGCTCTAGAAGCAAATACTCAATCCATCCATCTACCCACCCACCATGCATCGTTTTCTTCATCCATTCAACAAATATTTCCTGAGCACTCATTCTGCAAAGAAGACAGCGGCCTGCTCTGTGAGAACAGAAACACGAGTCAGGGCAGCAGAGCTGCCCCTCTAAAAATAAGGTGCACGCACTTAGATAGCTCCCATGCAAAGCAGAAAACCACATGTTAGAGATAAGATAGTGTAAGGGGCTACGAGAGGCCACAGGAGAGAGGGCTTATGCCCACGGCGTGCCAGAAAGGGAAAGCAGAAATGGTTTTTTAGAGGAGAAGGTGCTTGAGGTGGGCCTTGAAGGATGTCTAGTTTAATACAAAAATCCCAAAAGCAATTCTTGAAAGAGAAAGAAACGTGGGCAGGTGGGGCCAGGGGAACGCATGGAGGCTGCTGGGAGAACAACAAACAGGACTTCGAGTGAGGGTGAGAGACATCTGGAGTGCGCCCTTTAGGTCAGGTTGTGGAAGCCTTGAACCCAGACAAGAGAATTTAGGCTGTATTCTGAGTCTGTATTCTTAGGCATGCTAAGCTTTAAAATATAACATGTATATAATTTCTTAAAGCCAAGAAGTGTCACAATCCATGTAATGCTACAGGAACATTACCTGGCTGCAGGCTGGGCGGTGGGTTGGACAGAAAGAGGCCGTCCATAGGGAGAGAGGAGCCCAGAAGCTGTGGCAATAATTCAGGCTGAGGTTTGTGAAGGTCTAGAGGTGGGCAACAAGGGGTTTGTGAAGGTCTAGAGGTGGGCAACAAAGGTGAGGCTGGGACAGGGACGAATGGGGAGGATCTTAGAGGCAGAATGGGCAAAGCAGGACTGAATGTGGATAGACCCCAGTGGGCCAGCAGGTCCCAAGTAGGAGAGGCTGGCAGCAGGTCCCACCTGGCTCTGGGACAGGTGGAGGTGGGCTGGGTGCAGTGAATGAACAGATGGAGCTGTCCGGGGTGGGGGGCTGGGGGCGCAGAGGCTGGGGAAAAGCTTGGGGGAAAGGTCAGGGCTGGGAATGAAGATTTAGGAGCCATTTGCCTCAAGGTGACAGTGGAGAGGGGAGGCTGTGCAGGGAGATGGCAAAAAGCAGCCTCTTGGGAAAGGCCTGGGAGAGGGGCAGGAAGGAAGAAGGAGCCAGAGCAGGCGCTCTGAGGGAGGGACGGAGCTGGCCAGTGTCGCCAGTGGTGCCGTGCACTTCCAGCGCAGTGTCTGCCCCTGAGCACACACATGTCCGCACACACAGGGCAGCAAGGGAGGTAGGACTAAGAAACTAACATGTCTTGGAAGCCTCTGTGGAGAAGGTGGGGGAAGGTGCCAAAGATAGGGAGATGCCTCCAGGTTCTAGCTCAGGGCCATGGGAACCCTGAGAGCCTATGCAGGGGCTCCGCTGAGAGGAGCACTCCGGAAGGAAGGGTGACGGAGCCGGAGGGAGCCAGGACAGTAACTTTGGAGGAAGTAAGATTGAGGGAAGGCTGCTAAGGGAGAGGGAGACTTGAACGTGTTTGTAGGCAGCAAGCAGCCGAGAGGCACGGATCCAGGATCCAGAGAAAGGGGCTGGTTTGATGGAGCAAAGAAAGGGATTCAGTGCAAGCTGCGGTGGAGTGGGACACTGGGCTGTGAGACAGACAGCAACAACAAAACATGCTTCCCCGAGGAAGCGGTTAACAGGAAGAAGGTGGGTAACCTAGGGGGGGGCTTTCGAAGAAGCCTAAGGGGAGGCTTCCTGTTCCTACTCAGCAGTTGGGCTGTGGTCAAATGCCACCCTTACATGTGTGAGGAATGGGACCTGAGACGAGGGGAGGGTTGAGATGGCAGCTGTGGGAACCGCATCCCGCTGGGCTCTTCCAAGCAGCCAGGGAGCAGGGGCCACTTCAGGGCTCTTTGGAGCCACTGGCTGGACCTCGGGTTGGCCCTGGTGCCCTTGCCCTTAGACACCAGCTTGGGGAATACTGAGCAGGAGCATGACTGCCTATCCGTGTGTTCATTGCCTAGGCACGGAGGGAGGTGGGGCAGACCAGAGAAAGATTACACTCTCTTACTGCACGCACAAATACTGTCCCACAGGCATATCTACTCAGAAACATGATTCAAAGCAATGCCCGGCGTAACAATATTAGCAATA